TTTCTTTGTGTGTTTGAACTGTTTCACTTTTTTAAAGAAAATTACCAAAAAAAGAAATTTTTTTGAAAAAAAGGAGAATCAGTGGAAAGAGTTTTTAAAAATATTTGATTTTTTTAAAATTAATTATTATAAAGATTTTAAATAGTAAAAACATTTAATTTATTTTTTATTAATATTTTGATTTTTTAGAGCTTTTATTTTTTATAGTTTTTTTTTATAAAATTTTGTTTATTTTATTTTAATTAATTGATTAATATAAAATATATTAGTCTTTAAAATATTAATAAATCCTTAATAATTATAATTATATATTCTTATAATATTATTAATAATAGAAAAAAAACTATAAAAAGTTTTTTTTCTTAATTGAATAAGTTTTTTTAAAAAAATTATAATATTAAAAGATAACTATAAAATATATAACATAATAACTTTTATCTTTTATTAAGTTCATTAGTAATAAAAAAATTTTTTAAAAAAAAATTTAAGATTTTTAAATTTTATTTTGATTGAATAAAATTAAATACATTGATATTATTATTCTAATAAAATTATAAGTTTATCTTATAAATAAAGGATATATTATAATTTTTTATTCAAAAAATTTAGGATGATAAGTTTTTTACATAATATGTAGTTCTAATAATTAATAAATAAGGTTTTCAAATAATTAAAAAGTTAAGAATCTTTCATTCAAACAAATCTGAATTTTTTTAAAAGGTTTTATTCCTTTTTTTCTCTTTTCTTTTTTTTCTAATTTGTTTAATAATTTAAAATTGTTAATGATAATCCCTATTAATATTAATTATTAATTTACTAGGAAAATAAGATATTTCTTAAATCTGATTTAGAGTACCTAATTTAAACTTAATTTTGTTTAATCTGAACTCGCTTAGTGGACCATTGCGGCATAATTGCGGGTTAATTAATTTTTATAAAGAATATACGTATATGCAATTCAGGTGATTTAAAGATCGGCCAATCATTTTATAGCCTAATTAAAAAGTCTTTAGTGACAGTGCGTGCGTATATCAACCCATTCCAAGATTAGGGTCAACATAGAGCAATGGTACGTTAAAAAGGTGGTTTAAAACTAGAAAAAAAGAGTGCGGTTGTTTTACAGTTTTATTGATACTCGATTATAGCACGGAGTTAAACGCGTGAAGCCTTCGGCTGAGGTGGAAAAACTTCGAAAGGAAAAGGAAACAGTAAAAATCAGAGAGTATAATAATTTGGTGAAATCATGTTTCGAAAAGGTGCATTAGTTGTTACCCTTCGCAATTAAAGTTAGTTCGCAAAAACACTTTTCATGATACGAAATCATCCCGAATAATTAAAAAAAAAAAAAAAAATGAAAAATAAAATAATAGAAAACCAATTCCGAATATGATAATGATGCATTTAACATCACCACCAAAATACTGTCCCAAAACCCAGACTTTTATACGATATGGAATTTTAGGAGATTGATTCTCCAGAATGGAATATTAAAAGACTGGTTAGCACAATTTATTATTGTATATTTTATGTAGTCTAGGAAAAAATGGTCTTAAAGTTTCGTACTTTTTATGGAAAGCTCCACTGAAGAAAAACAACAGACATTGTCATCCGAGCTTCTCTTTCTCCAGGAAATTTTTAGTTTAAATCCTAAATCCTACTGGATATTTAACCACAGACGTTGGTGTTTGGAAACTATGCCGGACCCTGATTGGCAAAGAGAACTCACTCTTGTTGGAAGAATGTTAGATATGGATTCACGAAATTGTATGCAATTATCATGGTTCAATAGTTAAACATATTTGATAAGAGACCTAATCATTGTGTTTATATTTATCATAATGAGAAGTCCATGGATGGGGCTATCGCCGATATGTGGTATCTAAACTTTCTTCCACCGACCTGGATGTAACGGAAATTTGTCAAAGGGAATTTGATTTTACAACCACCAAGATCAATCAAAATTTCTCTAATTACTCCGCATGGCATCAGAGAAGTAAGATGTTGCCAAGATTACTCGAAGAGAAACACTTAAGCGTCCAAGAAAAAAAGCAAATAATTGATAAAGGTATTTGTGTTGAGTCGGTATATTTTTTATATTTCAGGCTAATTAAAATATATATATCGTTGTTTACAAAGAATTTGAACTTGTCAAGTCAGCTTTTTACACAGATCCCGATGATCAAAGTGCTTGGTTGTATCATTGTTGGTTGGTCGGTCGAGGTAAATATATATCCCTCATCTAATATATATATGTTCGTCATAATTCTAAAACCCGACGATCTTAGAAATTCGACACATATCTGTTCTTGGAACTTATTATGATCCATCGAAAAGTCGGATAATTTTAGCATTTGATGATGAGATCGGGATGTTAACACCTTTCAAAGTATTTTGCAAAAAAGAAAATTCTCCCCTAAACATTATTAAGGGTTTATGGAGGTCTGTTAACGGAGGGATTAGTAATGGGGATAGAATGTACGGATTTGTCTGGATTTTTACATTTTCAGATGAGGAAATAGATAATTTCTCCGAACTTTTGGTCACTGTGAAACCAGAATGGATCGTATCATCACATCCTGAGAAAAAGTTGACTAGAACTATTAGCAGGAGTTGTATCAACCAAAAATTTGATGAGGTTAAAGGTATATTAAATTGCATACTTTCTTTTTTTATTTTTCAATGACATGTTATGTTAACGTACGCTTTTTATTAAAATACAGAAATTCTAGTATTAATGGTGCCGAAAGATATGACTGAAGGATCAGTCGAAGCAACAACCGATACCGTATCAAATCTATTAATCGAGTCACAAGATTCATTGCTAATTGGTACATCCGAGAAATTACCCGTCTTGCGCCGTGAGATCTCTGCAATAAGAGAATTACTAGAATTGGAACCAGATAGCAAGTGTAGGTGTCAACATTATACTCATTAATATTATTCACCATATTGTAAAACTCGGAAAGGAGCTATTAGTAATATTTTATAAATTTTGTTTCCTTTAAAATCAGGGTGTTTGCAAACCTTAATAAATCTTTTACGCGAACTTAAATACATTTCTGGTTTGAATTCGGAGGAAGTCGCTGATGTTAATGAAGAAGTTGTAAAGTTGTGCGATAAATTAATTCACGTCGATAAAACCCGTATAAAGAGATTTGAAGATTTAAGTATGTATGTTAATATGTATATATATATATTTTTTTAACTTGATATTTGAATTCGCGATTTATTTCAAAATTATAGGATCTGCGGCTATTTTTGAAAGTTCTACAAAAACGCTTATTGAATCCTCTTATGTATCATCGGAAGTTATTTATAAACACATGGGGACATTAATATCCAAATCAACCCAAACATCTTTATTTTCGCTTACTGACAAAAAAATCACGACCATTCCTTCACCATCTATCTTTTTGCATATTCGCAAATTAGATTTGTCGCACAATAAGTTAAACACTACCAAGTTCCTTGCAAACTTGATCAGCTTGCAAGAAGCAAACCTTAGCAATAATTGCATAACTAATGTGCAAGGTGTGTATGGTTTGGAATATTTGAGAAGTTTAAATCTACAGTCAAACTTAATCGTTACTTGGGAATTCATTGAAAATGAACTGACAAAATGGCAGGGTGGCGAATGCAAAGTGTACTTGTATGGGAATCCTGTAATTGAGACAAGTAATGATGAATTAATCACAAAACAAAAAAGAACTATCGGTAATATTGAAATTGTTTGGGATAGTTGGACTACATAGATTCGTTTTGTAAAAATTACTTTCCTCGGATTAAGTGATTTGATACATGTAGCTTCATTTTTCAAAAAAACTTACTGCTAATAAAGTAATTAAAAGTAATCATCAATGGTCTAGAAATAAAAATCGACTTTATAAAAAAGTAATTATCTTTTAAATAATAATTTGATGCTCTGCTTAATAAACATTTTTATTTTATTGATTTTTTTTTTCTTTTTTTTAAACAAATTAAAATTTTTTTGATTTTTTTTAAATGTTTAATATGAAACATTAACTTTTGAAATTATATAATTTATTAAACATACAATTGTTTTCAAAAATTTTAGTTCATATATCATGTTTTTGAAAATTTCAATTTTGATAATTTTTAAGTCCTTTAATTATATAATTAAGAATTAATTATCTTATTTTTTATATTTTTTTCAAAATAATTTTTTTAATTTTATTATTAAAAAAAGTATTATTATTATTTATTATTTTAAACCACAACTAGATATTAGATGAAAGGCTTTATTAACATTAATTGTTATAGTTGATTACATCAATTATCTTATACAAGCTATATATTTTTATATACAGTATATGCAAATTAATGATAATTTATTGTAACAACTTAGCTAAACCAACTTATACTTTTAAAAGTGAATAGACTTAACTAGGGATTAAATCATCAAATACTCTAGTTATAAATAGTAAAGTTCCAGTTAGCTAGTATTGAGCTTATTAATTTTTGGTTAATATTTATTAATCTAACTTGATTTCATTGTATTAAATCCTCAAGGATTAATTAATTACTTAGATATCCTAATACTTTTTATTTAAGCCTTAGAAGAATTTCTATTTTTTTTGTCATCATCTATAATATCATAGATCAATTTTGTTTGATTAATCCTTTATTTAAACAAATACTGAATTGAAATATTTCAAATTAAAATAGTTGGATTCTAAAGTTTACCGATATAATTTAAAGTAAAGAAAGTTTAGATAATTATTGTAGTCTTAAAAGTGGGATCCCAGAGTCTACTGATACAGTTGGAATTAGAAGTATGATTAGATGATTACCACAGTCCTAAAAATAGAATCCTAAAATTTAATTCTTATTCAATTCAAAAAAAATTAAGTCAAGCATAAATTATATAACTATACTAGAGGCCTTTTTTCATACAATTTTTACAGTAGATCTTTTTAAACTTGGCAATAAATAAAGAAATCAGAAGTTTCATTCTTGTGCAATCTAATTATTTCTTTTTTTATATGGTTCTCATATAGTATTAAACTCTAGATCTTATTTTTTTTTTTTGAGTATCTGTAGCCAGGCTAGATTGTCAGTTTATTAATCAATTAACAATATAAGTACATTTTTATTCAAGCAGCATGATATATACTATAGTTAAACTATTATTCTAATTTAACTAACTCATTATAAACATAAAAGTCTCTAAATTTAATCTTAAGAATAATATTTTATTTCACAATGGCTTTGAGTAAAAACCTTCCTAGTTCACTGTATTATTATTAGCGAATTGTCATCACTATATATCTTATCAAGCTGTTGAAATATAAAAAACTACAAAAGGATAGGTTAAAAAAAAAAAAAGATGATAGTTAAAAATATCTAAATACAATATATAACAAGAAAGTAAAAAAATAAAAATTTGAAAAAAAGATTTCCAGCTTCCTCCAAAGATCTGCTTCTCAAGTTCTCTTCTCAATAAGAAATATCTGATTAGGATATCTTTTCTTTTTCTGACCATCTGAGAAATTTATCTATTTTTGATCTTGATTTTCTTCTCATATACTATCTAGGAAAACTTATCACTTAGTGGAAGCCTTTACTTTTAGGACACACTTGGTTTCAATTACTTTGAACTGTAATTTTTTATTCATCTATAATAAAAGGGTAACTTATAATGGACCCAGGTTCTTATATGATCTAGTAAAAATGGAATTATATTATTTCAGTATAATATTTTCCAGCAGTTACACCTAATTAAAGGAATTTTACTGATATATATCTTCTATTACCCAAAAGGTCAGATTCTCCAATAATCCTTTTGCCTTATAATAGTGAAAGGATTTTGAAAGAGATAGGAATTCTTGTCGATTGTGATATCCTTTAACAACTTCTGGAAAAATGTATTCTTAACTATAACCAAAGGATTGAAGCTTAGCATGGACTAGAGACTATTCAGCTTTATTGCTTGACTAGAATAAGAGGGAGACCTTGGTCTTAAACTTTGTTTGACTAAAATGATAAGAAAAAAAGACCTTAGCTTAAATAAATAGTAGCTTTTTTACTATCTGAGGATTTGTTGCTGTATCTTATTGGCCTCATAGAACTTGATTTGTAGATTAACCCAATTGGAGGAGTAATATGGACATAGGGCATCAATCAACTCTTTCAATTATCAATTATATTATTGAAACATGTAAGATAATCAATAGAAGCTTGTTTATATTTAGTTATTAATATGTTTTGTGTCAATCAATCAAATGTCAGATGATATTGTGCTATCAGAAATTCAGGATCAAACTGAAGTAGACAAAATCCTTCAAGAAAACTATAAAAAACAGTAGGTACTTTAAGAAGATATAAGACAGTATATAAAAAAGTGGATAATAAGCCTTCTTTTGTTAATAGAATCTCTATTTCTAGTCACTTTTAGCTCTGTAAGATGACACTTTACTTGTTCAATCCTTTTATTTCCTAGAACCTTCTTGTCTTTAGTAGAGAAAATATGTATTTGAGTCTTTTCAAGCCATTAGAGGCTCAAGTTTTTATTCAAAGAAGTTTATAAACAAATAAGAAAGGATAGAAGAGACAAATAAAGACAAACTTCAAGTTGTTTTGATGAAAGTATAAAGACTTTATTAGCAAGGAAATATAAAACTTCTTATGAACATCTTTTTTGTATATGGTCAAAGAATCAGCGGAAAAAATTTTAATTCTTTTGAACTCTAGATCTTGTAATTGCAACCTGAAAGTACTATCACTATATTATAGATTCACCGATCTTATTTATTTATTTTTATTTTTTTTTTTTTAATCCATGGTCAGATTAATATAGTGTATTTATTAATCTTTAAGAAAACTGATAGAGATATATTGAGCAATTATATCATAATTAAACTAAATCTCATATTGACTTATTTATCAATAGTTTTTAAATCTCAAATAAGCTTAAGCCTCTAAGTACAATCTTGAGAACAATATTTTGTTTTAAAATAAGTTTTAAGTAAAAACCCTTCTAACTTATTCATTATTGCTAGCAGGTTATCACTATATATTATTCTCCAAGAAACTGATGTTGAAAAACTATAATAGGGAAAAGAAAAAATGAAAGAAAGGGGAATATCTAAAAATATATAAATATACATATATAAAGAGAAAAAAAAAAAGAAAAATAAAAGTGCTTCATGTTCTTTAAAAGATCTCTACTAGAAACTTTTTCTTATTAGAAATCAACCTTTCTGAAATATACTTCTTCTTTCTGACTATCTGAGAAACTTATTCATTCATGATCTTGATTATTTTCTTGTGACTATCTAAGGTACTTATCACCTACCCAGATCCAATGTCTTGCTTATCACTTTCTTTTTTTCAATATTGATTTTGTATTCATCTATACTAAACAATAACTTATGATAGACTCCAGGTTTTTATGTGACCTTTCAGACTAATTTGTTATTATTTATTCAAGAATTATTAACTTTGTAGAAGATTTTTGCAATTTTAAAAATTATTTCCATATTTTATTTAGATCTTGCTATCCATGTTGTATTATTCATGAAGGTTATATCTGCATATCTTGATTCTAACCTTCTTGTAGTCTATCTTTTTAGATCAGAATTCCATATAACTAATATTTTGTACTCTCTTTGTGTATCATTCTAGATTTTGCAAAGGAAAGAATTATAAAAAATTCTCTATAGTAAAAGTAAGATGGTTTTCCCTTGATTAATTCTATTTCTAATTACTATTGATTTTGTGAGATTATTTTCAAATATAACTTGGAATTCTTTGTTTTTAAAAAGATTTATTATGATATTTATGAAACTTTTTGAAGCTTTAATTCTTTTTATTGCTTTTACTAATATATCTAGACTAATTGTATTATATGCTTTTACAATATCTTTAAAAGTATCCACAGTTCCTTTTTGTTTTTCTAACATTTTTAAAAATATTGTTGGAAATCTGAATTGATTCTGCTATACTTTTTCCTGGCAGCCCTGCATAGTTCAATTCTTTGAGAATATTATTGATCTTACAAATATTTTTCATTCTATTGATAAGGATTTTGGTAAAACACTTTCTTGTAATCTCTAGTAAAATGATAGGTCTGATATTTGAGAGCTTACGATTCAAGGTTTAGGTTAACTATAGGATATATATAACTCTATTTCCAATGTTTCGAAGTGACTTCCCATCTTAAGAAGTTATTTAACATTCTTTTCAAGAAATCTTTTTCTTCTTGGCTTAATCTTTTCAGCTTTTCATAACTGATTTGAGATTTTCCTAGAGCTTTGTTATTGGAAAGTATCCTGAATATTTTATTTAGTACTTTTTATAAAATTGGTTCAAGTAGTTTATTGTACCAAGATTTTTTTTTTTTTAAATACTGCTTATTCTACATCACTCCAGGCTACTTAATTAAAAGAAAATCATATTTAGGAACAATCAATATAAATATTTCCTTGTATTGTCTAAGGATTTATCGATCATTAAAAAGAAAATAGTATAGAGAGCTACCTATTTACAAAACTAGATCTAAGTCTAACCTAATCAGAATAAGAAAAATATATGACTGACTAATGTAAATACTCTCTTCTAACAATAAGAGAGAATTGATCAGATTTACTTAAAGGTGTATTGCTAGTTGTTTCCTGTCATTGGTTTAATACTATTTAGGATTTTATTTCCTAATTGGCTTGATATTATTTAAAATTTTATCCACCGATCGGCTTGTTGCCATCCATTAAAGAGATCTAACCTGTCAAGACTT